CCTCCCCCTTGTCCACCCCAACCCGTATTTTACCCCGATTTTACGCAGTCGGGCTTTTAAGGCGCTCATTAAATTTGCCGCTTTTAATAATCGAGGCAAAGACGACTCGTTCCCTCTCCCAATAAGGGAGTCGCTACATAGTCGGTTTTATATTCGCAGGACGTAAATAAGTTTGCGCGAGAGGGACGGAATTGTGCGCTTGAATAATGCTGGTGTATCGGCGACGGGCTACCATAACCGTATTGCACGAGATTATTTCCCCGGTCATAAAAAAGTTACGTGTCACGGCCTTACACGCTCACGCGCGACAAGCCAGGACCCGAGACACGAAAATTGTACCGCCGCGGTCGTGGCTGCTTTTTACGATGGGAATCAGGAGTGCCAAATCAGGCTCAAGCGACAAACTCGTCAATCCCTTCTTCATTTCGCTAACTCCCCTCGGCTCTCCTTTAATACGGCGGTGAAGGGAAAATTGCATATATTAACGTTACAATTATGCGACGAGCTGAAAAGAGCAGCAATGCGCAATCTCGTTCAATCAGGGAGAGTCTCGGAGGGTGCGAATTCTTCCTCGCGAAAGCCGATTTTCGCGCGCTCTTCTCGTGACGACGCGACATCGCGCGCGGTTGTGTACTTGCTGATGTGTGCGAAGTTGAGAACGGCCGAGTAACATGCATTTTATAATTAGTTCGTCTACCGCGAACCAACATTAAATTAATTCCAACCCTCGGCGTCGTGACGAAGTTGTCGTGCACGGTAACTCGCGAGCGCGATACGTCACGCTGTTTTGCGGAGGAAATCTATGCGGGTCGCTGTAATACGAATCCACTGCTTAATCGGTGCGTTTCGTTGCAGCGAATTGGCGCGTCTTATCGAGCCTCGATGACAACGGTGTTGTCACGCCGCTAGAATCAAGCGTTCGAACCGGCAAACAACAACGTGTGCATGTCCGTCTCGCTTCGTGAACTCGTTTTGCATTCGAGTCGTGTTGATTTTACAGTACAGTCGAAACAAGTCCGCCCGACAGTCGGCTACGTCCGTGATCAATGGTTAAGAAAATTGTCCGTCCCGCTGATTGACGCACACACACACGCGCACGATTCTCGCTATTACTCAGAGACATCGACGTGTCTCTTGCGAAGCGATGAGAGCCAAAGGAGCGGAAAAGTGCGATGGCAGAAACGTTCGTGAGTACACTGCAAAGCCAAGCGTGTTATTTTAGCTGAGTCTCTCTTTACGCGTTTCTCACCGTTCTCAAGTCACGTCACTTGACACGTTAAAGCGTATTAAATTATAATTTACATGTCTTAAACATGCGTCGAGTGATGTGGCTCGTAACAGTGAGAGAAATGCGCAAAAAGAGCTGTACAGTCAAATTACACGTTTAGACGTTGAAGACTAACATACTTGGATTGTACTCTCGGCGATATTTAAACAGGTCTGCGCCATATCTGCACCATTACCGAGTAGATGCATGTCGGCATCGTACTCGGTGATCCGTACGTAACTGTGACCTATATGCGCGGCGCCGTGGCGCAACGATACGTATCGCGATCACGTGTGTGTACGCGAATCGTATTTTCGTGTGAGTCCCGGGATCATGCGAGACGGCCGCGCGGCGCCACCACATTCGCGACGGTCGCGAGGGTTCTTTCGCGAGAATACACACGACCTGGTGTCGAGCGCGTCGGCGTGAAATCGCGCGCAACGTGACACCTTGGTCCGAGTCGGCGAGGTTCGTTATTAAAATCCGTGTTCGCGCCGGAGATTCCGCAAACTCGGCCACCATCAACGGGAGCATTCCGCCGCGGATTGGCAGGTGGGCGCGCGATTTTTATTATCACTCATTCCGCGCAATCCCACCTTCCTCATCGGCATTCCCGGGCTATCAGACCGCGCATTCACGCCGTTGAATTCCTTCGGAGCTGCTCCGGTGCAAGCGCGACGGATAATAGCTCCAGGGGATGGATACCTATCTTAATGGAGGCAAGACGTCTCTCGCCGGCCGAGCTCAATATAGACGGCGGGCAAAATTTTTATGGCGCATCAAACTCGCTAAATTCGCGGCTTATTGCGATATTATATGGCCTACGTGCGCAAATGCGCACTTGATACAGGAGACTGAAACTAACGTTCTGTTCTATTTTTTAACTAGGCAGGGAGAAAATATTACGTCATAAAAATTACGTGGAAATTATATTTCTTACAATGTGTTTTGTCAAGCAGTGGACCAATACTGCAATTGTTGTATAAAATACTATAGAAACAGTAAATTTGTGACGATCTCTCTGATCGGTACACGATATAAAAGATATTTAATTAAAATAATTTTAGAATAAAAAGTCAAACGTATATAATATTTTTTTAAAATATTATAGTACGGTTGGGTCAGTTTCGAATATATTTTCGTTGAGAGGTGATCAC